GCGAACTCCCATGAACCCTCGAGTATCCGATGGAGAGTATAGAGCTGGTCCAGTGTTCCGCGACCGGGACGAAAACCACACTGCTCCTCCTGGATCCGAGATTCGACCATCGGCCGTAACCTCCTCTCCAGTACCTTGGAGTAGACCTTAGGTCTTTCTTACAATATGCAAAATATAACAGGTTTCTAATAAGATAAAGACAGCATGTTGTGGTATGTTTTGTTCACCAAAATGGTACTTTTACAGGGCTCTTTCTGTTGGGAAAAACATGGAATATTTATGGAAACAAAATTGGGGAAAAAAATATCATTTTGAGCTGTAATGCAGTTTACAGCAAAAGTAACAAAGTTGGCGCATACAACTTGGAGGAGAGCCGTTTTGATCATATCTAGTGTTAGTATAAGTGGAGGTCTTTATTGCACAATTATTACAATGCAAGTTAAAGTGTATGAGTAATTAAAAACAATAGTGATGTCAAATAGAAGACATATAGTAAAGGTTATGATTTTTGCATAATTGAAGTAGTCCCAGCTTTGTATGAATAAAAGATCAAACATGAGACTCTTTAAGTACTCAATAATTAGGCCCAAACCAGATACAGCAACAAGACCAGGGTCATAAAGTGAAGTTGAATATTCTCTTTCAACTCAAACATTTCATATCTATATGGTCCATGTTCCTAACGTTCAAATTAAAATAAAAAACATTCAAGCCAGAAGATTATTTTTAATTTGACGCATGATAATGAAAAATCGAAATTCAAGCCATTTTATGATCTTCTTGCTTTTGATTTTATTTTTATTTTGATATATTGGTTCTCTTCCTGTCTGTTCCTAACATGCAGTTACATTTATTTAGGAGTCAGAAGAAACTGTGTGACTTGTGTGTCTCGCTGTGTATTCCTGTAGTCCCAGTCCTGCTCATGCCCCTCAGCGCGGTGTCCTCTGCAGCTGTATTTTACAGAGTACGCAGGGCTTTTGACAGCTGCGCTCATACCTACAGCAGTCGTGAGTTCAGGTGGTTAGAAAAGTATATAAAGTATGTGGTGAAGGGTTTTACAGCCTTAAAACATCCAGCTGCTACTTTGACAATTTTGCTTTTTGGGTAATTTTTAGAATCTAAACTTTCAATAAACACTGTCTTGTATTTTAATAATAATGCATCGATTTATATAGCGCCTTTTTGGACACTTTCAAGACGCTTCACATTTAATTATTCATTCACTCCATACACAGTGATGATAAACAACTACTGTAGCCACAGCTGCCCTGGGGCACACTGACAGAAGCGAGGCAATCTGTCTGGGCTCCTCCGACCACCACCAACCACTCACACACACACCAGACTCATTCTAGGCAATGTGGGTGAAGTGTCTTGCCTCAGGACACAACAATAGTTTGGCACTTTACAGCCGCAGCCGCCCCACTGTGGCACCTGGTGTTCCCAGAGGTCTCCCATCACAGTGCAAACCAGGCTCTGTCCAGCTTAGCTTCAGAGATATGTCGGGAGCTGGCTTTCACATGCGGTTTCATTTTGGGTCCTCCTTGAGTTTGGAATCACGACAGAATTGCTCAAATGCATCCGTCCACTCTCTTCTTCTCTCTAACATTTGGTGAGATGTCTTATTTTTCACTCTGGCTGCTGTCTGGAGGGATACTTTTAATTATGTGGCTCTGTCTTGGTTATGTGTGATTATTCTCGTCGCTGAAATCGTCCTCTCTGCAGGGAACCGGCCGCAGCAGCAAAGTGTGTCATCCATATGTGGACGGCCCCAGAGGCAAAGCACACAGAACATACGGGCCTTTTTCACATGCTTCCAGAACATATGTTGCACAGCGTTCACATGGCTGGGCTTTTGCTGGAAAACAGAGGTCATAGAAAAACTCAGATATTGCTGTGAACAGCAGTGGATATAGGTGTAGATTCATTGTAGTGGATATTCAGGTCTCATAGAATTGTATGAACTAAATAATATTCATTACAACAATTTTACACAGTACAAGTCATTTTGAGCTGGAGTTCCCAACCTTTTTGTTGCATATATTATACATGTTGTCTTTCCCAATAGAAAGAGCCTTGTTTCAGCAGCATTTTGGGATTGGTTGTGTGTGGGCTTGTACCCACCAAACCAAAAATAAAAATTATAATTAATTGGTTTTATATAGCGCTTTTCAGGAAACCCAAAGACGCTTCACATGACATTATTAATTCACTCCATACACGGTGGTGATATACTCCTGTAGCCACAGCTGCCCTGGGGCACACTGACAGAAATAAGGCATCCAACCTTGCCTAAGGACACAACTGTGGCACTGCACAGCCGCAGCTTCCCAACTGGTGTTCCCAGAGGTCTCCCATCACAGTACCAACCAGGCCCTGCCCTGCACAGCTTCCGAGGACTGACGGGATCTGGTTTTTGCTAGTATGGCCACAAAATACATGCACGTGTGATCACAAAGCTGAACACTGTATTCAGTATAAAACACAATTCAGCCTATAATTGTCAATTTTCTTAAATTATTCTCACAATAATCAAGGGATGTTACAATCGGAGTTTGATCTTTCTCTGTGCAGAAATGGTTCCCACTTATAACTGAGAAAATTTATTTGAAGAGGTTAAAACTACAGGCCATGAGCAAAGTTTGTTTGTAACTCAGTTACAATTTTGACTGTTATTTTCAGATGTTTTTTAGAAAATAGTGTGGTCATTACCTCCACAGTAGTTTGGTTACATGTTTTGCCAGTGTAGATTAGGAATTTTGGCACAAATGAATAAAACTTATGCTTCTCTCGTAATTTTAAGTATTGAAGGAAACTAGTTTGTTTCTTTCATTAATACACTTATGTCACCAATTATTGTCATCATCATCATTAAGATGTGGAACGTTCCCAATAGTAAATAATATTAAATCTGTAATCAAATACAGACTGACCACAATCTGGCCACACCTGCACGTGAAAGCCAGATCCCGTCAGACCTCTGTAGCTAAGCTGGCAGCGCCTAGTTAGTACTGTGATGGAAGACGTCTGGGAACACGTCTCCCATGTGTGTGTGAAGGGTTGGTGGGGGTCAGAGGGGCACATACTGATTGCCCCGCTTCTGTCAGTGTGCCCCAGGGCAGCTGGGGCTACTGTAGTTCATCACCACCGTGTTTGGAGTGAAAGAATAATGCGATGTGAAGCGAGTGTCTAAAAAAGCGCTAAATTATCCTGATGCATTATTATATAATTAATAATTGTGGTCAATGAGAATCCCACTCGTCCACTAGTAGAAGTCTGCACACACAAACCCATGCAAACACTATTGTGCGCAACAGCAGCATGTTGTTATTCTCACTGCGCTGAAAAAGTGCAAGCAGCAGCAAAGTGAAACTCCAGTGGCCAAATTTCACATTTTAAAAAGTGTTCGCTAAGCGGCGCTCATAATTCAGAGTCAGCAAAGTCTGCGGCCCTGGTCTAAACAAAGACCATACATCACTGCTCTGTTGTGACAATATCAAACACCAATCAGCTCTGTGGGACTGATCCGTGACTGGGAGAAAGAAATGTGATGACACTATAGGTATGAACATACCTATAGTGTCATCACATTTGCAGCATGACGTGGTCTGATTTGTTCACATCACTTTACTTTAGCACTTTATGTTCTTTTTTTCTAGATTATTCATGAGAAAAAAGTTAGGTACCCCAGCTTTAACTGGCTGCAACTGACGGTGTTTTTTTTAATTATCAGGTAGACTACTATATTCCCAAAGACAACAATTAGTAGAAGTGTTTTCCCTGTTTTACAAAAGCTAAATAATGTCAACAAGACAAAGGCATCCAGGCAAGTTTGTTTGAACAATCTACTAATTACCGTTTTTTAAGAGACGCTCTGGAAATGAAGAAAAGAAAACAAACTGTTGTAGTCAAACAATTAGTATGGTATCTTTATTGTATCTCAGAGATTTTAAAGAGTACATATTTTATTGGGCAGTTAATAATAATATTGATTTATGTTATGTCAATTTTTGCAAACTTTTGAGTCAAAGATAAATGAGTAATTTTACATATATGATCTATAGTAAGTCAAGTTCATTTAGATAGCGCATTTTACAGACCAATGTCACCCAAAACATTTTACTATATTTAGAGTTCAGAGTTTGTTCCCGAACCAACACCATCCATCCACTCACTCATATACATTCAGACCTATTGTGCATGTTTTTAGTGGTAGGGGAAACAGGAGCACCCGGAAGAAACCTTCACAGACACAGGGAGAACATGAAAACTCCACTCAGAAAGACCTGTTGGAATTGATACATCAATTTACGTCAATTTCACCACTTCTAATGTGTTGCCAAATAGAAGTCATAATTATTTGTTTCAAACTTACAACAAACAAGATACAGCAATACACAGTTACAGTGTTGATTTTCAGTGTCGATACGAAGTTAAAAAAAATCAAGAAAACATTTTTGATCGCCATTTACCACAGCAAGACCCCACCCTTTAAATAAAAATCAGATACATGGATTGAGATTTTGCCTCCATAATTGTCTCAAATATCAATCACTACACTGTATAATTTTAACCTAAAAGTAGGGTGCAAGTCTTTCTGAAGGACAGGTTGCAATAAATTCAAAGCGTCTAAGGAGATCAGGGGAAAATGTATCTATGCACAAAAACAATTCCAAGTTAATTTGACATTCTTGCATCTTTCAAGGAGTGAGAGCCCATCCACTGAGCATGTATTTTTAGCATCACTGCAAGCGAGCTAATGCATAGAACCACATATTTGCAGATGTCACGCAATTAGATCCTATACATAGTTAGTTCTCTGCATAGGACAATTCACCAGAGAAACTGCAGCAGCCTATTCTAAACCACCAGATACATACAATGTCAAGTATATTCTCTTCCCCCCAGCCCAAGTTCAGAGTCAATCTTTACCAGACAAAGCAAATCCAAAAATAGAAGTCATGCAAATGCGAAAGAGACGCATTCCTAAATCGACTTACTTGACAAATTGGATGCAGCCGCGTCTCTCCGTATGCTACATTCTGAACGCAGACCTGCGCTTTTGTCATGTCCCATTCCTCACCGGAGCCACCAGCGAAAAGCAGCAGCACCAAACCCCCCTGTTACAACCCCTGCCCCAACTCATCCTCTGCTACTACGCGGCAAAAACACGGCAACAACAAGCAGACGTCGATCCCTGCTTGCTTAAAAAAAAAGAAAGTCCACCTTACCGCGCATCGTTTACTCAATCCCAGTGCAAATGCGCAAATGTGGGAGTGTGCGGGGTAAAGAATGTCCCGCTTCTCTCATCCCAAAAGCAGGATGTCAGCAGCTATATCAGGGAAATACATCTACAGTAGACTTGTGGCAGTATTGTATCGTGCTGCAGAAATGAGTCATACTCCAGTGCTCCTCCATAGACAGGCACCCCACCCGGTCACACACACATCACGCTGTAGCCTCCAAAAGCACAGGGTAACAGCAAAGAGGGGAGCAGAAAACCAACCGGGGAGTATTTATAGCAACATGATCGTATGATAAAGGTGCATTTGGATGGCCTACCTGCGTTCCTCCATAAATAGGAACTGCTGAATCAACAGAAAGTCTAAACAACAAAAGCGCAGAAACATATGTCTTGGCCAGGATGTGGACAGGGATAATTGGTTTGAGGCCAGAGTCAAACATTCACAATTTATTTGGGGTAATTACAGTCTCAAATGTGGACTTGGATTGGTCCTTGTTTAGTTCTGATGGGGCTGCAAGAACGAGTCGTGACAAGTCTATTTCATTGTATTTTGATAACCATAGCTGTACCACTTCTACATATTATATACTATATGCTGAAGGTTATAACTAAGTAAATTGCATTATTATTTTGGCCTAGTTATAAAACAACTTTATTTGTTTACTTCAGTCACCTTTAAACTATTTGGTTAATAACATTCATTATACAAATGAAAACAATCACTGACTCACTTCCACCAGAGTAGCTCTCAGTCTGAAATCAAAATGTTTGGCTATAGTCAAGGGTATCCTCACAACTCATGTGTTCTACCAACATGTACATGTAAAACTACTCAGTTTCAACAATGCAATCTGAAAGACACACGTCATTGGTCCAATGACTGTTATCATAGACTACAAGAGAGCAAATACACTACACTAGAAATATTTTATAAAGTGAATCATAGGTTGTATATGACTATTGATATCTGAAAAATGTATTTGCAGATGCTGAAACTGTATTGGGGATGTGCAAGGATCACAATTTATCAAGGATGGACTGCAGTCTATGCATGGTACGTTGGTGTCCATCCTTTATTTCTCTCTAAATCATTTTCAAAATATTTATTTTACCTGCTGCTCTCGTGCTCGTTCTAAAGTCACATGTGTGCAGTTGCTGCAGATGCAGAGCATGTGGCTATGTGCTCGCGAGTCGCGACCACTTCAACACAGTCATAACTGAGCATGTGTTCCAATGGCTCCAATCTCCGCTCCACTCCAAGGCAGAGCGTAAAGCAAAGAGGTTGTGCACTCCTGATATGACATAAGGACATGTCTCAGTGGCTCTGGCTCAAACATGTACCACAGTATCTCCTCCTTAACACTTAACTTATTTGTACATCCACCTGCAAACACATCCTTATTGGGCCATCATTGAAAACTCTTCTTAAGTTCTACTATAGGAATACATCCTGCCTATGGGCATAGGCAGGATGCCCACATCACAGAATTCAGAATTGCAAATTAAGTTCCCCTTAAATCCACAAATCGCAAAGCAATCCCTCAGAAAACATGTGCAGCCAGAAATATGAGATTTGTTCATGGTCTTTTCCTAGAATCTTTTGGAGCTATTATAATCACTGAGCCCCAAACTACAAATCGAATCAAAATCATACAAACAAAGATTCAATATTGTCTCGAAATCATTCAGCTTTAACCGGCACACTGCCTGAGGCCCACGTATGAATATTTAATTGTGTGAAATATTGTAGTGGAAATGCGAGCGCTGTCATTAGTCTGGAGCAGGATAAATAATGTCCTTGTGGGGAAGGTGTGGGCTCAGCTATTCTCCTTACGCTCACCAACGCCTGGAGCTAAACCTGAAACACGCCAACAGTCTAATAGTCTCATCATGGATCTCAGAGAAAAAGCAGTGTCTGAATGATAGAGCCACAGAGAATAGAATATGTAGCAGTGGGAAGACCTTCAGACCACTGCGTTCCAGTTCAATCCAATAAGACACACACAATGTCACAATGCTGAATAAAACATTCAAATGGAGAAACCTTGTAATGTTGCTGAGGGATATTTCTCAGTGTTCATGTTCATTGTTTAGATGTTTTAATTTTATCTTCAAAGAGGAGGAGCCACCATCCCAATGCTGGTGTTGAATATTCTATGAACAAATCCAATAATCATTTCCGATCCTGAATATTTGGTTGGTTTAGGTATCAGTTTTATGATTTGTTTTGTTTTGGAACAGAAGACTGATCAGTTATTAGTGCAGTAAGTATTTTAGGCCCAAAAAGGAAAACAGTTAATGTGTAAGGAGCGTTTATTTTGAAATGAAAGTGAGTGGGAAGCAAATGTTTCCCATGAGCTCTTCCTTATTAGAGCAGATTTTCTTCCTCATACACAGACACTGGTCTGGTGTATTCAGACCACTCAATTGTGCCGTTTAAAATGAACCTGAAGTACTTTACTGGTAAATCCAAATCTATTTGCGGGTCTGAATAAAGACAAGTGGACGCAGCTGAAGAGGCGACCCACTTCTAAACAAACTTGTTTATGGTCAGAACAAAAACGACCACAATCCAATACAAACACACGACCTGCTGCTTTTTGAGCCTAAGGGGCCACCATCAGTGATCACGGTGCTTCCAACAGGACTGTGGACCAACGTGAGCGCATGGAGCAGCCGCCAGAATTCTGTCTGTTCTCAGGTGGAGTCCTCCTCTATATTTGGACGGTAAACATCAGTCTGGTTCAGACATGCGCGTCATTTCCATCGCAGGCACCTGCATCTACAACTCCACGACCTTAGGGTAACCAGGAGCTGTTCTGAGTTCAGTCTGGTCTGAATACATCCGTCCTGCTTACAGTAAATCATCTTATCCTGTTAGAACCCAAACAGGCTCATTTAAGAAATAGTTCTGAGTGAACACTATTAAGACAGGTACACTTTGTTAGATTGCTAAATGTTCTTATGCTGTCTGTTTCTGAGTTTGTACCAATCTAATTGATATTGGATGGATTAACCAATGTATTGGCTGTTTTTGATAACTTTTAGAACAACTTTTAGCTGCCACAATGAGGCGGCTGAGACTGTAAGTAACAAACTGCTGTTGTGTCCTTGGGCAAGACACTTCACCCTCATTTCCTAGTATGACTGGTGTGTACATAATGGTTTGTTACCAAATAGAGCAATAAAAAGGACCGCTAGGTGGTCAACCACCTAGCGGTCCTTTTTATAACTATTTTGGCCAGGATCATTTGGTCAGGTCTATTTCAAGATTTGTTGTTTTAACAATACAATTGGTCGGACTGATAACTACCAAGGAAGTGTAACCAGTTTTCAGTGTGGAAAGAAGGTTTTCCCACATATGCTTGACAAAACATTTTTTTAACTTCAAACCCTAGCAACGGTTGCTGGGGTTAATTGTTGGGGGCAGAGACGTGGGTTACATTAGTCGTTTGAGAATTTTGAGGTGTAATGACTTGAGAAATTCAGTGTTATATTGTTTTAAAACTGATTTTATATCTATGTTACAGACATTAACTGTATATAAAATGTGGTTTTGCTGTAAAATATCACTATTATGAATGTTATTCAAGCACGCTTTCGACAATATCTCTGACCCAACATGTGAATAAACTCTGATATGAGTTCATGAAACGTAGGGGCTCCCTCTGCTGGACTGAAACAATGCAGCACCATGGACAGCTCTCAGTCACAACACATACAACACAGTACTTTTATTTTGATTGTTTAGATTTTAATAACTATATTAAATCATGCTTTATTACTATGAACCTTACTTATCTACAAGTGTAATATTATAACTAAACTTATTCTCTCCATTCTCCATTTTCTGTTGATTTAGCATGTTGCTCAGGAGCATAAGAAGTAAATCAGGATCTAAATTTCAATCAAAATGTTTCTGAAAGCTATAATAATTGTAGCGTCAAGAAATGTGTACATTTTTGACAAGTCACTGCTAAAATTGCAGTTGTTTCCCTATCAGTCTGTTTATAATTCTAAGCTATAAGTATCAGCATTGCACCAACAAGTGCTGCTCAAATAAGCCAAAACTCATGATCATTTGGACATAAAAACAGGCCAAATATTTTTTTTCATGATTTGTGACACTTACTGCCTTATGACTTAAAAACTGCCTTAGACTAGAACCTTTGCGAAAATCCCAGTTAAGCACAGCCTTTGCAGATGTTTAAACAAGTGATAAACCAAAACAAAAAGTCTAAAAAATGCTCCGTAAAGGAATAGAAATAAGAAGTGTATGGACCTGTCTCTTGATGAAGCTGGAGGTTGTGTCTGAGGACGTGCTTCCATCGGAGCGTTTGAAGCGACTTTTCCTTTTGGGCAGCTTCCTGGGCAGCTGTGAAAATGACACAAAACACCAACTTATATTCAGCCGTTCATAAACTTTACACTTCTACAGCTGTTTACAGACAGAGGAGAATCTGTAGGTAATGTAGCAAGTAATAGTGCTGCTACTTTTGTTCAAATGATGGCTGTATTTGTCAAATCGTTGGGGCAAACATATTCAGTGATTAATCGAAATGAGAGATTTTCAAAATTTAAATTGACCAAAAAAAAGTAGAGACTATATGTAACACAATTTATTGATTTAGTATAAATACCTTAAAAACAGAATTCCATGTCATTCTGCCGTATTTACAGCTTTGTCAGAGTCATAAAACAGAGTTCCTCCTTGTCGATACAGGATGGTCTAAGGACATTTATGATACAGGACATTCATGGACATTTATTGACATTTTATGAACATTTATGACCATTTATGGACATTGGTCACCCAGCTCCCTATAAACTAATGGCTCCTATGTGTTTGTTATTATTGCATTTCCTGTGTTCAGACTGTTTCATTCTCTGATCTGTTGTTGACAGCTGTAGTCAGGGCTATACAAGAATAATGTAATTGAATTGAATCTGCTATGCATGTAGTGGTCCAGGTTTGGTTCAATAATATATTAATCATTTACTAAATTAGTTTCAATCAATTTCAATAATGTCGTAACAACCCTTGTTCACATTAGAACAACTGCACTGCATGGTCCTAATCATTGTTGACATCCCTAAGTAGATATTTTGTGTTTTAGGCGCTGCATAGAGATTGTTATTGACTAAAAAGAAATTGCAAATAACATCCGTGCCACTATGCTTTTCTGGTTCAAAACTTAGGGCACTTCATAATGAGCCCATTTAAAAATCCATGTAAGACTTTAAAGTGATGTATTGTCATGGAACATAACATTTGGCAATCACTTTACTTCTTCCAACGTGCTCCTTGAGATCATAAATGGATAAAGGCATTCTAGTGAACTGTATTATCCATATTTTGTAAGCAGAACTGGACTTGCCGAAAGCTTAAAGATTCTCTGGGAGGTCTACAGGTGGGCCTATATCTGCAGTCAACAGTCAACAGTGTGTCATCACTCAAACATAGCTGCTTGCCCATGCAGTATAGCCGCAGCAGGAGATGTATTGAAATAAATAATAAAATGCCAATAGGCCTGGGTTTGAGACAATAACACGCATTTAACTTGTCATTTGTGAACACAGCGACTATAAATAGAGAGATGGTCCTGCAGCAGTCTTTGCTCGCATCCACCTGCTGAGTCCCGTGCCATAAATCTGCAGTTTTCGGTAAATGGCAGGCGGAGGTTTCATAAAAAGTAGTGCCAAAACGCCTTCGACAACAAGTAGTAATTGATACGGGTGGATCAACACACAGTCTAATGTCTTTGTTTTAGGATTTGCGAGTGGGAGTTGGAGGACTTACCTGGAAATAATGCGACTGCGAGCCGGTTTCCACAGCCGACAGCGGGTCTATGGCTGATTTGGACATTTTGACTTGCACCATGTATCGAGAGCGCACGGAGACATGGGCAGCGAGGAACCAAAAACAAGGGATGCGAAATACATTTATAAATATGCGGTATCCAAAGCGGAGGTGGTGGATTAGAATGGGATATAATGCAAGAACAGCGCGCAGAAGAGTCCAGTGGATGAGCAGAAGGAGCGTTCGTCGTTCGCCCGTGCGTCTGGAGCGGGAGCGGGGAAAACACAGGAGGAGACGGTGTCATAAGCGCAGGCCTGGAGTACTGACGGAGGGGGCGAGAGGAGGAGACATGCACACACTCACACACACACTGCTTTGGTTCTGCTCATGGATCCGTATTGGCTATTTACATTTGGATTGTGGCATTTATACCCAAAACCTGTTTCTCACTCCTGAAAAAGTGATTTAATCCCTTTGACTTTATGATGGGCACACCAGAAATCAATTTGATTTAGGATGAGTACAGATAGACCTAAACTACAACAATCAGCCTATACCCCTGCAGTTTAGCCCTGGATTGATCATTATACATATTATACTTATATGTTTATCTTTGCTCATATACACATCATGTATGTGACTTGTATAGTTTTGTAAAGTTCTATTCGAAATATAGTTTTGTCTCTTTTCATTGAACTAACAAAATATTTTCAAAAAAACGTTATCAGTTTTCTTCCGCTTCATCTGTTTGCAGAGTTTTTGCGGCAGCCTGAGCAAAGTCCTGGCTCCCCAGGCCAGCTGTGAGACATAATCCCTGCAGCATGGGTCTTCTCCAGGGTCTCCTTCTAGCAGGACATGCCTGGAACACCTTCACACAGAGGCATTCGTAAATGATGCCTCAGCCATGCCCCTCAAATCTCAACATAGAAGAGCAGCAGTTCTTTCCCGAGCTCCCCAATGTTATTTAGCTGTGGACAAAATGATTTTTGATCGCTTGTATCATTTGATCTCAATCTTTTGGTCATTAAAGCTCATAGGTGAGGGAGGGACGTAGATTGACAGGTATATCGAAAGCTTTACCTTTCAACTCCCTCTTCACCACAACTGATACAATGACCGCATCACTGCACCGATCCGTCTGTCAATCTCATGCTCCATCCTTCCCTCACTCGCAAAGAAGACCCTGAGACACTTGAACATAGTCATCTTGAGGAAGGACCTTTCCTCTACATGTGAGGGCAAGGAACAGTGGGTGGGTCTAGAAAGACCTAACTCATCGAAAATGATATGTCGCACTTTAAATCTCATAAAGTTTCCTTGAAGTGTGGAGTCCCACAGTTTTAACTGAATGTGTATGTTTCAAATGTATTTGCACTGGTTTTATATTTCACTGTCTGTTTTTAATTGCTTGTACTTTGGGTTGCACTGCATTAATTGTGCTTTATAAATAGATTTGATTGATTATTATTATTATTAATATCAATAATAATATTAATTGAATAAAAATTGAACAATTATGTTTTATCATGTGCAATTAGGTAAAAACTGAATTGGTCATTACAGCAGTGTAAGTAGTAAGTAAGTAAGCTTTTATTTATATACCGCCTTTTCACTGCACATCGGAGTCTCAAAGCGGTTTACAATTGTTGGGTGGGGGTCGCCAGTACAGGAGGCACATGCCAGACCTATTGTACATATATTTAGTGATAGGGGAAACCGGAGCACCCGGAGGAAACCTATGCAGACACGGGGAGAACATGCAAACTCCACTCAGAAAGGCCCTGGTCCGACCGGGATTCGAACCCAGGACCTTCTTGCTGAGAGGCGAGAGTGCTATCCACTCAGCCACCGTGCCGTGTGCAGAAGTCAGTACTGTGAAACCTTTTTCATCTGATAGAACATTCTTCCAATCCTCTTCTGGATCATCCAAATGCTCTCCAGCAAACTTCAGACGGGCCCGAACATGTACTGGTGTAAGCAATTGGTCCCATTCTGCAATGGGACCAATATGATTGACCTGTTTTCTAGGAAAGAATGATTGAGTCTTTCAGCATGACAATGAAATACACACATCACCCGGGCAACGAAGGAGTGGCTTTTGTAGGAAGCTTTTCAAGGTCCTGGAGTATCTTTTCCAGTCTCCAGATCTCAACCCCATTGAAAATCTTTGGAGACATCTGCATGGAGGAATGGGCCAAAATAGCATCAACAGTGTGTGAAAACCTTGCAATTTCTCAGTTTATTTTCATTTTGTCTATCGTAGGAGGAATACCTACAGAATGATGAAAATTAAAGGTATCTTTCATATTTTTATTTGGAAGGACTTTTACAATTGGTTGCTGACTAAATATGTTTTGTCTCACTGTATTTCTGATCTGAAATTGTGTACGGTCTCAGATCCTCGGACCTCAACCCTGTTGCCGTTCCTCGTGTGAGACAGGTGGGAGAAGCAGCTATCCCCCATTATGATTCTTGCAAATGGAACGGACATTTTCTCGTTGTTGTCTTCCTGTGATTTTTGTGTTGCACTGTTTTATTAAAGTGCCTTGAGTGGCAGTCCTGTATAAAATGGGAAATGCAAAAACATGCAGGTTCTGCGTTTGTTGGTGAATAACCGAGAAAAGTCAATCTTCTCTCATGTAGGCAAACATATGCAGACTATGACCAGCATGGTCTCACAGGACCTGACTTGGACACAGTGGAAGATCAGAGAGTGGGCAGAGCCTTAGTCAGGATCCCAACAGCCATCAACAGGGTCACATTCAATCTCCCTTTCTTGCCTATGTTAGAACTCTCGGGCGATAGATCAACAAGCCTTCACCCACTTATGGACACTTATATTGACCTAACTCATATCCTTTTAGAAATGTGATCCTTATCAGAATGTTGCAAACTAAAATTTCTCTGAATAAAAGATTGCTTTGATCCCTCAAAGTTCCAACAGGAAAATTATTGCAGATTGAAGTGAAAAAGTAGGCCTTTTTGTTATTTAGCAGTAATAAATATGGAAAGACTCAACAATTTGCAGATTTTTTAAATTTTGGCTCCCCTCCACAGATCTCTGCCAAACCGTAAAGTGTCTTACTTATGTGCAGCGAGTGTGTCTGGGGAAGAATGTCTCGGACTCTCGGATTATAAATACAGGAGCCCCACAGGGCTGTGTTCTTTCTCCCCTGCTCTTCTTCCTGTACACCAACCACTGCACCTCCAGCCACGACTCCGTGAAGCTGATCAAGTTCGTGGATGACACCACCCTCATTGGACTCATCTCCAACAACGATGAGTTTGCCTACAGGAGGGAGGTGGACCGGCTGGTGTCCTGGTGCAGTGGTAACAACCTGGAGCTGAACACCCAGAAGACAGTGGAGATGATTGTGGACTTCAGGAAGAGCACTGTCCCCCCGCCCCCACCCTCCGTGATGGACTCCCCCATCACCTCTGTGGAGTCCTTCCGTTTCCTGGGCACCACCATCACCCAGGACCTCAAGTGGGAGCCGACCATCAGCTCCCTCATCAAGAAGGCCCAGCAGAGGATGTACTTCCTGCGGCAGCTCAGGAAAGCCAAGCTGCCTGCACAGATGTTGGTGCAGTTCTACACGGCCATCATCGAGTCCATCCTCACCTCCTCCATCACCGTGTGGTTCGCTGGAGCCACAGTCAGGGACAAACAGAGACTACAGCGCATTGTGCGCTCTGCAGAGGAAGTGATCGGCCGCAGCCTTCCATCGCTGCAGGACCTGTACGTCGCCCGAGCTCGAGGCCGGGCTGGTCGTATCACAGCCGACCCCTCTCACTCTGCACATGGACTATTCCAACCACTCCCCTCAGGCAGGAGACTGCGGTCCATCAGGACTAGAACCTCCCGCCACAAGAACAGTTTCTTCCCCTCTGCTGTTGGACTCTTGAACACTTCTTAACCTGTCCCCCCGCCCTTTATAAAGTCACTTTACAGCCCCTCATACGTCACTTTACTTCACTGTACTGCTGTCACCTTACATTGTGTGCACCATGTGCACTTGTATATTGTAAATAGTAACTGTAACTCTATTTTAAATCTAAATTTATTCCTTAGAAGTGTTTTTTATTCTTTATTTTTATTATCTCTTTCTGACTGTTGCACTGAGCCAAAGCAATTTCCAAGTCTGTGACTTCCTGTTACTTACGTGGCAATAAAAATGATTCTGATTTATTTGGAAGGACATGATAATGTCTCTCATGCCTGACTGTAAACAGTTCTGGACTGTTGTTGTCATAATGTCTGACATCACACCATCACTGCTCTGTGAAAGGATCTTATATTTCTCAAAACTTAGGCCTCATCACAAGATCTATCTATACTATTATCTGTCCCACAGTGGGGGAATTCTGGTGGGAACAGAATAGGATTATAGTAAAGTATTATTATAAATCTATCGTACTTTTTCATAAACACAGTAAACACTTTGTTTAACACCTGTCTTGTGGGAATACAACAGCTACACATAGAACACAAAAAGTTTAATGCAATATATTACGATATAATAACATTCAATACAATATCATTTCCTATAGTACTCTCTGAGACCAAGTAACAATTTTCTCCCGGCTTCCATGATTCAATCCTGAAAATGACATTTAAAAAAGTGTTAGTGTCTTTTTTGTAAATCCACAAACTATACAAAATAAATACCTTTTTGACTCTTCAATAATGTCTTGCTCATCTGGGATGTAATCAGGGTCATCAGCTTCCTCTATGGTGAAATCCTCATCCTCATCACAGACTTCAAAACTATTTATTGAATAATCAGAGCTAGACACATTCTTGGATGGTAGAGTACACTGTATGGAAACGGTGCGCTGGCAGGGTCGAACTGAAACTCCTATATCAAAATATTTTTTTTTAGCTGAGATAAAACAATGCTAGAATAAATGAATACATAAGTAATATATATTATATATATATATGTACAGTATGTATGTATGTCTGTATATAACTGTCCCCACATACCTTTGCTCCTGTACGTTGACTTGTTTCTGAATGTGGCTTGTGTGGATTGATCCTTTACACTGGGAAGTGAAGGTGTAAAGGTGCCATCATCTTCACTTGAGGAGTCCGCTGATGTTGATGGAGAGACAGGATCCATGGCAGGACTAAGGAGATAATTTATCATCTGCAATAAAGAAAAGATCTCATTAACATCTGTCCATATCATAAAAAACTGAATTTAATAAGCTAAACTACTTTCCAATTGTGAGTTACTTGTTCTTGTTTCTACAGATTTCATCAAGGTCCTTTAAAGACTTATTTAAAGACTATTTCTTTAAAAACTCACTGAATATTTCTTTACTTAACATTCCTGAATCTATTGAAATTGTGGGTAAACAGCAACAGACTAAACCAGGAGGACCAAACCCAGGACTAAACTCAGACAAAGCCAGAGCTAAAACAAGAATAAAATCAAGCCAACTAAACCAGAGCCAATAATGGACTAAACCCTGACTAAGACCAGAACTAAAGTCAAATAGCCTTAAACAAAACCAAGCCAGAACTAAACCAGGACTCATAGGCTTAAAATAAGCCTATGAGTTCGGTTTTTAACTAAAACAAATGAACAATAAATTGAACAACAAAAAGGCATGATTTACCCTGCGGTGTTCAAGCTTGTGGATCAGAAGTGTGCGTCTGTCTGTCCTTGCGGGAGTTTGGGAAGCCTCGCTCTGCCCCTTCCGTTTGAAGACTGTTGGGACGGCATCAGGTTTTAATGTAGCCTTAGTCTTGTATCCCAAAGACGCTGCCACCGAATTAATGTGTTCAAACGAGTCCTGGGTGAAGTGGTCAGCACAGACAACACAGGACCTCCACGCAGCAGACAGATAGGGAAGCGGAGGGCCGGTCCAATCAAGACGCGTCCGTCTGACTTGTTTGTTCCACTGGTCAAATCGCTGCTTCTGCGTTGTGGGGTTTGGGAAGTTGTGCAAAGACACGCCATTCTTATTTATATTAGTACAGCCGTAAACGATGCACCTTTTCCCCATCTTCATTGGCAATAAGGCGAAGAAAAGTAAAAAAAAAGCTGTTGAGTAGCTAAGTGTACAGTATAGTACAGAGTAGACGCGTGTTTACACTCTATGGCCATTCACCTACGTCACTTCTTCTTCTTCCAATTATTTCCGGTAGACTGTGCGCCGGCGCAATGCTGACCTACGTCACACATCACGTGGCATGTTTTTTAAGGTGATTTCTAAAAAATGTAGTAATTTACATGTTTTTCTTTTTTCCGTTTTATTTCCCCCCCCAAATTTTGTATATGGCTCTAACCTAACAAAAACTGCTATTAAATTGAGGACAATACTCTTCTTGCTGTAGGTCTGTCACCCGTCCACTAGAGGGAGCGCCGAGTTTCCAAAAGTGGCCAAAGTGTTGAGCATCAAACTCGCAGCACCGTGGACAGGAAGTGTGTTTCAATATAAGACCTGAGCATCAGGGGAGGTATTTATGACATGAAAACCAGGACATTTGTTGAACTGAGAGTTATTTATGTTCAGAAGAGTAGCTATGTCATGGGGATAAAAATCCTTTGTCGAATCTATCCTCTTTGTTATAGTGACTAAACAGAGCTATATCTTCAGGATGGACTCTTGAGGAATCCCTTCAGAGCCAGACTTCAGGCTTTACTATGAAAGGACAAACTCACACGTATCTGACGCTTGCTGCTTCCGCTGTGAGAGTGGTGCTTGGAGCCGAGAGGGTCAGGGGGAGGAGAGGCTTGGGAGTGGAGCGAGAAGACGATAGGAGGAGACCCGCGGGTGACCACTGTGCACCATCACCCGGACACGCGCTCCTCCGCCGGACACTTCCATCCACTTCTGTGGCCCCTGCTGCGGCCGCTCGGACTACTTACTACATGATGACGGGTGAGTCCAGGCTGGCACCAGTGCAGCTGCACTCTGCAGGCCACATATATATGATATATGTGATATTTGTGATGTATGTGAGGACATGTGTGTTTGTCACGGACTCGCGGCGGCGTGGACCTGTACGCGCTGGGCAGCCTGCTGTCGGACTGACGGGCTGGAGATGTGGCCAGGCCTCTGCTCACACTGGTGATAAGAATAGGACATGTTTTCCACAACATCCGCGTGGTCAGTGGATGTGTCCAGTGCGTAAATGTGGCTTATCCCGCTGACAGCCTACACTGGACTGTCAGTGGACTCCATCTACTGATGTGGACCAGTTTGCGCTTTGCTGCAATTCACACGCGCCTCTGATAGTGACATAACTTTGGGGGATACGCGGTTTTCCACAATAGCCTCTATTCCACTGTTTACACGCACTGCGCCTCTATAAACGCAAACATGTCCATTCTGAGCTCCTTCAGGAATGTGGAGTGTCTTTATTTGTGTTTATTTGCCACAGCGAAGTATCGCTCTGTGGCTCATCCTCTGTTCGCTGCATCCCACAGAATGAAATAAACGCAGAATAAATGGCTGTCAGCGCTTTGCTGCTCGCACTGACTCTGGCCACACTGGACGCAGCGGAACGGTTTCATGGTCCCAGCTATGGTTGTCACATAGGCCACGGTGTTATGTAACTGGAAGCCTACGCTGTTTGAATGCGGGCCTCTCTCACGGCCTGTGCGTGGCATTTTTACACCAGAGCGCAAACAGCACATGATGCAAAGACGCGCACCGATTGCGTGTACATAATTGCATTATCTCTGTGCAATATTTCACTGTCCTATTATTCCCACGTGTGCAGCCTGTCGTGTGGGTTACAGCATAAGCAGCACAGACAGCTGCATCTGCGCTGCTCATGTGGAGTGATGTGAGTGTAGCGTTTGTCCGATTGAAAATGCCCCTCCACACCTTCCCCTTCCCTCCTAAAGCAGAGCAGAGCAGAGCAGCACCAAAGCCAGAGCCAGTGCTGTACACAAGCTGCTCGACCTTGTGTGGGGGGGAGTGAGTGAGGGACGCATGCAGCCTGGGAGGAGGAGAGGAGAGGGAAGGTCTGCTTCTCCTTGTCGAGGGGAGGACAGAGGATGCGTGCCAGAACGAAGACAGGCGAGATCTTGCGAGGAAATGCTATTTTTCGCCTGAGCCGACCCAGCATGGCTCTGTCCGCGTTGGGAGAGCCGGTGTTGGGGATGGGAGGTGGAGGCGGCTGCGCTGGTGTCTGCAAAAGGCTCAGTGAAATCAGATTGTTGCACTTAGTCACATTAGGGACATTTGGGCTGCGCGCATGGGCCAAAACTAACAGTCTCTAATATTACACCATGACATGCTGTAAGGAGATTATAGCGGGTATTAATAGCATGTTAGAAAATGCCACAAACCCACAGCTGTAGCTACAAAAATATCCCCGGACACTGATAATTAGGTGGATATGGGGGATAAAAACCGCATAACGCCCTGGAATTATGCAGAGCAGTACTTTTACATTGACATGCACCAGGAAATGTGACAATAGACAGACTTTCCCTGTGTGTGTGCAGCATGTTCCCAGTGTGTGTTTATAACTGCTGCAAACTTCCTTCCACCATATGGCCGAACCTGTTCCATCCAGGAAGCTTTGTTTGTGTATGTTGTTATAGCACTGAAATTATATGACATGCTCTCATTGCAAAACCTCTCTACGTGCAGTGCAACTTATAGCCTGGCTGGTGGCGATTGCTTGTGTCTGTAGAAATGCATTCCACGGACCAGGATTCATGCTTTTACTCAAGAGAGCCTTCATGTCGTGGAGTTCAAAACAGCTACTGAAAAAGTGGGATTTATGAAGACATACTGTATGGTAATTTTCTTGTCATATTGTTGGCTATATGCAAAAAATGGTGACCAAAATCTAGAAGCGCTGTTTCCTGGTCTTTCACACTGAGCGACCCTGGCAGGCATGACAAAACAACTTGATTATTAACCCTCCTAAAACCCTACTCTTATTTCCACGGCGTGCTCAGTGTGAACACCCCAACAAAATTTAGAGGGGAATATACAATAGTGAAAAATTTTTAGAACAGTATAACAAAAGTCAAGCTCTCACCATAAAAGTCTGGGTCTTTACATGTATTGTTCTTTCCCTCACTGCTGAAGTTGTCCTTGTAAAGAATATGTTATAAAGCGTCTGTTCCTCTGCATTCACTTAAAAAAAATTGTTTTGAAAGTTGGAAATTGTTTTTACTCTTTAACATTCCTGTCTTTTCCATGGTGCAAAGTTGACACGGTTCCAAACAACTCTCCAAGCACTTTGTCTCCCATGTCGACACGCCATTCGGTCCTGGACACATACAAGGATCTTTATGATTTATTTTGAACTTTTTATATTTCAATATTGATCTAAAATGGTTTGATAAACAAAAATAGTCTGCTTGCCTTTTTCTGATGAACACTGCACATCCACATAATCACAACAATGTGCTGTCATAGCAGCACATGGGCGCTAGATCAGGGTTCCCCAAATTTACAGACAGACCCGCAAAATAAGCAGAAACCTGACTCCCCTACAGAACAAAAGTCAGAACAGGAATAATTTCAAGCATCAAAACATTAACATTAACATTCACTGTAAAATGTGGCTTGTTTGAATCATGTATTGTGTTATTTGACCACATTTCTCGAATGTGTATATTATTTTAAGAATGGACAAAATAGAATAGTTTGTTAATCATCTCACAACCCCCCACTTTGGGAACCACTGGGCATGGAAAAACACAAAGACAAAGTAAACATCTGCATATAGTTGTGCTGAAAACATGGGACTATAAGAGTGATGTCATAAATGTCCTCAAATATGAAACATAGTCCCTCTAAAGCAACTTCAATACTGTATTATTTTACTTTTAAATGTCCTTAGAAACTAAATGTTCAAGGTCATTTGAAGGAATAAAGTTGATGACAACAACACACACATTACTCCCAGATGACGTGTTAGATTTGGAGGGAGAATCTGAATGACGTCTCATCTCTGTGGCTTTGAACAGTTGCCCGTAGCTTCAGGGCTCCAGTTCCAGAGCTGTCATGCTGTTTGTATTACTCAGCTTCTTGATAATTGTCTTGACAGTGTCCTGTTGTTTTTGGCATTTATCCAGATTTATTACTGATCCACAATCATTGATCGTGATATTTAGTCTGAGTCTGGGAGCAGTCACTGTTATCTGACCAAGTTACTGTCAAACGTCATGTGCCAGGCTGAAGAGGATTGTAAACAAAAGACCTCTGTGGGAAAAAGAACTGGTACAGAAATAACATTGTTTTTTGTTCTGCGATGGGTAAGATCCAGTGTTGTAATGCAAAGTTCAAGGGTGGCACAATGGCTGAGTTAGTAGTTCTTGTAGAAATAAGCTAGATCATGGGTTTGATTCCCCAGGCCTTTTTATGTAGTACTTACAACCACTCTGACTCCCACATGTCTGAGTGGCTTTACAGGTGACAATTCTCTAGCAAAGACATACGTGAATATTTTACTATTATAAATAATAATTATTTTATAATTATTTTTTTCATACTATCATAAATCACACATGATAATAAAATGATTCTCCAGACTTACTGATGAAGATTGCTGCACTTAAATTAAACAAGTGCAGGACTCCCAGGCAAAAAGTACTGCAACAAGTATAACCAGAATACATGGGAGAAAGGTGGAAAACAAATATTAGCATAAGATTGTATAATACGACACAAGAATACAACTTACTTAATAGAGTCAAAATACTATTTGATGATCAGGGTAAGCAACCTGGAAACCTGAGAATGATTGTGATATTGACATTCCATTAAACGGAATTCAATGCCCATCTTTATCAGAGGCCGACAAAAAACCACAGGAGGAACCTCTAAAATAAAGGAAATCCAAAAAGCTATTATATCATTTGCTAAAAATGAGTCGTCGGGCCCAGGCGGCTATAACGCAGAATTTTATCAAACATTCTGCGATAATCTCCAGGATTTTTATTTTTGTATTATTGTTTATTTGATTTGGAGAGTGGATGTTAATGAACAGACAATTTCCATCCTTTGTCCCACACTCTCATTCACCCCCCAAAAAAGATAAAGATGGCAAACATGACATCTGGCTAATATTACCAAAGACATTTTCTGTGGTGATTTCTGTATGTCTTCATCACAATAATAATTAGTATAAACTTTATACTGTTTAGTGTTTCACCTTTACACTACTTTCATTTTTTATTATCTTCAAACTGTGGGAAGCTATGTTGCCACAGCTGCCCTGGCATAGACTGATGGATGCGAGGCTGCCAATTCAGTGCCACCTGATTGCTCTGAATGTATCTTTGATTGGGTGAATGTGAAGAGCTCTTCAAAGTGACTAAATGTCCTGTGCATGTTGCTGTTAGCAGACGCAGTGGAGGTCCTGGATTCAGGCCTGGCAGGGCACAGGGCGGGTCGCCTTCGGCCCCGTGTTTGAGTGTCTGCTGTGGACATCTGGAGCTCTCCACGCTGCTGCCTGCGGTGTGGCCTCACAAACCTCATCTTAAACCTCCACCCACTGGGATAAATGAGTGATCCGAAAGGAAGGACCAGGTCTGGGACATGTACCAGAACCGCAACAGGTAATGCCTTATATTACTTTGAACATTTGTGTTTTAAATCGTGAATTTAGAGAGTTTTGTCTATTAAAAGGAGACACAGTAGGTTAACTGTGCTTTGCAGACTTTCTTGCTACTACCTCTACAAGTCCATCAATGTTTTATGAAAACAAAATACTATATACTATTATTTTGACAACTATATTTGCAAGATTAAACGTGATACTTGTAAGAATGTATATATCTGACCACTCTCACTTCACTCTCTTCCCAATTTGAGAAGTAACATTGTATTTTCATATACATTCCAATACATGTGCATACAAATATAGTGTATATCTGTATGCACAAATATAATTTAAAAATTGTGAAGAGAGAGAAGACAAGCTCTGGTTGGACCCACCCATGCTCACCCCTGCCTCTGCTGCTCCCTGATTGGTCAAAATCAATTCAAATCTTTGAAACCCCTTGTCATTGGTTTGACTATTCTCCTCCGGCAGATATTACTGGTTGAAGAGGAGGGACTGTTTTAAAAATATTGTTAGACAGAACCTACTGTAATAGCACAGTGTCCCATGGTTAGAAACATACATTCTTTTAAAAATGACACACAATATAACTTGTTGACATCACCGTTAACCACCACATTCTTTCCCCCCCACCACAGAATGTCCTGGTTCAGTGGATTCCTAGTTGCCAGAGTTGACGATCGGAAAACAGCGTGGGGGGAGCGCAATGGCAAGAAGTCCAAACGGAAGGGAGCCTCATCTCTCTGCAACCCGCGTTACATGAGCTGCCTGCGGGACCCCGATGCCATGGAGCCCCCTTCTACCGCCCCCCTCCACCACCACCACCACCACCAGCGGGGAGGGGGCAACTTCGGCGTGCGCTGCGTCTGGCAAGAGGACCACTACGGCAAGCGACCCGGCGAAGGCGTGGGTCTCAAATCGGTCGACTTGGGCTTTGAAGACGGCGACTTGAAAGGGCGGAAAAGCGGCGAGACGGGGGAGGACGGCGGCGGGATCGTCACGGCGGCGGACTGCTGGTTGCGAGTGGTGCGCGTTTTCCAGTCCAAAAAGTTCCAGTCGCGGAAACTGGAGCGGCTTTACCAGCGTTACTTCTTCAGACTGAACCAGAGTTCGCTGACGATGCTCATGGGAGTGTTGGTGATCGTGTGCGGGATCATGCTAACCTTCCACTGTGTGCACGCCGCGCCGCACGTGGCCTATTCGTCGGTGTTGTCCGTGGCGATGGCGCTCTTCTTGGCTCTCATGATCGTGTGCAACCGCAACGGGTTCCACCAGGACTACATGTGGATGGTCAGTTACCTGGTCATCGGCGTCTTGCTGCTGGTGCAGGTGTTCGGCGTGCTCATGGTGGCGCCGCGCAGTGCCTCGGAAGGCATTTGGTGGTCGGTGTTTTTCATCTACATAATCTACACGCTGCTGCCGGTGCGCATGCGAGCGGCCGTGCTCAGCGGAGTCCTGCTGTCCGTCATCCACGTGGTCAGCACCTGGCACATAAATCAGGAAGACACGTTCCTCTGGAAACAGGTACGCATTCCATCGTCAGTTTGGTGTCGCTGTTTTATTGCTATGTTTGTATGATAATATTTGTATTATTTTTTATTTTTCTTGATGCATATATTTACTATCAACAATATTTTGACTCCAAATTTAAACCTGTGTCTTCAGCGCGTCTTTGGAGCGTAAACACAAATAGTATTTTCATTGTGGTTCCCGAAAGTTCATCTTGTCCTCTTAGTAGAATAAAGTTATTTGGTTCTTCAAGTTAAATGTTATAGCGATGTTATTACCGTGTCATGTTTCAATGGTCGTCCTCAGAGGCGGTAGAAGGTGAGAAGGTAATGACATTGGTGACTTTCTATTTTATGGTATAGAGGAATCTTTGCATTGTGATGAGTCTGACAATTTATACCAGCAGTGAAATACGCATACAACGGAAATATCTATAAAACGAGCGTATAGCGAGCAGCGTGGCAGACCCTGGCTCGTCTCGGTGAGGAAGACGATAAAAAGAAGCCGTTGGGCGTAGAATGAGCAGCTGGTTAAATTTAACACAAAATAATCCACTTGTGTATTCAAGTAGAGCAAAGTTGTAGAACTGAGGTAGATCCGCAATTCATCTTCAACCTTTCTTTTAGATTTTTCCCCTGTTTGATTCTCTCCACTGAATCAAAATAGCGTATTTTTAGGTTGGGTCGGTAACATCTCTCTGGTGATGTCATCATTTTTTTTTTTTTTTTTTTTAATTCTTTATTTGAATTGGGACAGTGCACATTAATCAACATGTGTTTTTTCAACATGTAAATGCGCCGGAGTTAGCCATATAGGCTAATTTTCATCCGTAGTCCCATGGCAGGTTGATGTCAAGATAGGTAGTATAGGACATACAACAGGCACAAACATACAGCAGAAACACCATCACAGAGACATAAAAAGACAGTGAAAGAAGAATACAACATATAGTTAAAAATGCAAGGAATATATAAGAATTTGTTCAACTAAAAATTCAGAAAGGGACAATATACACAACACCAAAATCCTCCACAGCAAGACATGTATCAGTGTTTGGTGACTTTAGTTCATGTTGTGTTCACATGTCTGATTGTCCAAAAGCCACTTCTTCACAGAGTTCCTAAAAATGTGAAATGAGGTCAGGTTCCTCAATTCTGTTGGAATCAAGTTCCAGGAATGTGCTGCGCGTACTGAGTAGGCAGATTGTCCAAATGAAGTCTTTCTAAATGGGATTCTACAGTCTCCTCTGCTTGATGAGCGCGTGTTTGTATTTACATTCAGCTGTATAAACTCCTGTAATGGAGGCGGTGCAAGTCCATTTAGGATTTTATAGACCATAATTACATCAGAGTACATTATCAACTGATCCCACTTTAAGAAATTATGTTTGGTAAAAACTTTACAGTGGTGATATGAATTATTCTTTTTGTCTAATGTTTTTACTGTCTGCTTATAAAGTCTTTCTATGGGCAACAGTGTAGTCTTGTTGGCCTGAGACCAACTCGTCATACAGTAATTAATATGCGAGAGAATTGTGGCGTTTAGGTATAATTTTGAAACATCAGTTGTTAAGTTATTTCTAATGTGTTTAAAATTCACTAAATTGAATTTAATTTTGTTCCTCAATTTCTTAACATGTTTTTTAAATGATAATTGAGAATCCATGGTGACACCTAAATACTTGTACTCTTGCACCACTTGTAGTGCTTGCCCATTCACCAAAACTATTGGATCGCTCTCTTTAGTTGCCGACTTAGAGAAGAACATACACATAGTTTTATCAGTATTTAAGTGTAATTTTGAATTTTTTAACCAGTCACAGACTGACACCATTACAGATGACAGCTTCTCTGCCGCCAGCTGTTTCGTTTTTGCGTGAACATAAATGATGGTGTCGTCAGCATATAACTGACATGATGCTTCAGAACATACATCAGGTAAATCATTGATAAATAAACTGAAGAGTAAAGGGCCAAGGGTTGAGCCCTTCATAACCAAGAAGTAAAATTTAAGGATAAAATGATGGAAAAACTGGAATGCTTCTTATAAATATGTATCTTGACTTTGTGAAATATAAGGTTAGGTAAAAACATTGTGAGAAACATTTGTGAGATAGATGTTGAGCAGTAGTAAAAATGTCGACTTTATTGATTGACTGCGGAACTTTCCGCAGTCAACCATTGGTTTTGTATTTCTTTATTCCGTCATTTTTTTTGACACGTTTCACAGCTTTCACATTTTCAACAATTTCCACAAGTTATACATCAAAACGTTCCACATGTTTGGGAGATTATTGCTATTACTTTTGGGACTTCAGCGATTTCCGGTTTTTCCGCAATCGGACAAAAATCTGCATTGAGAATTCTGCAATGCATTTTAATAGGCCCATGCATTTTAATAGGACTTCAGCTCTTTCAGACATTTCTACAGTTTCAATGATTCAACAGTTTCAAGGATTCAACAGTTTCAAGGACTTCAGCAGTTTCAAGATTTCAAGAGTTTCAAGGACTTCAACAGTTTCAAGGACTTCAGCAGTTTCAAGGACTTCAGCAGTTTCAAGGACTTCAGCAGTTTCAAGGACTTCAGTGTAATCATGCAACCTAATAGGGATTTTTCCATGTAAACCAGTATAATGCAACTTAATAGGGATTTTTCCATGTAAACCAGTATAATGCAACTTAATAGGGTTTTTTCATGTAAACCAGTATAATGCAACTTAATAGGGTTTTTTTTCATGTAAACCAGTATAATGCAACTTAATGGGGATTTTTCCATGTAAACCAGTATAATGCAACTTAATAGGGGTTTTTACATGTAAACCAGTATAATGCAACTTAATAGGGTTTTTTCCATGTAAACCAGTATAATGCAACTTAATAGGGTTTTTTCCATGTAAACCAGTACAATGCAACTTAATAGGGATTTTTCCATGTAAACCAGTATAATGCAACTTAATGGGGATTTTTCCATGTAAACCAGTATAATGCAACTTAATGGGGATTTTTCCATGTAAACCAGTATTATGCAACTTAATAGGGATTTTTCCATGTAAACCAGTATAATGCAACTTAATAGGGATTTTTCCATGTAAACCAGTATAATGCAACTTAATGGGGATTTTTCCATGTAAACCAGTATTATGCAACTTAATAGGGATTTTTCCATGTAAACCAGTATAATGCAACTTAATAGGGTTTTTTTCATGTAAACCAGTATAATGCAACTTAATAGGGTTTTTACATGTAAACCAGTATAATGGAACTTAATAGGGGTTTTTACATGTAAACCAGTATAATGGAACTTAATAGGGGTTTTTACATGTAAACCAGTATAATGCAACTTAATAAGGATTTTTACATGTAAACCACTATAATGTAACCTAATAGGGGTTTTTACATGTAAACCAGTATAAAGCAACTTAATAGGGATTTGTACATGTAAACCAGTATAATGCAACCTAATAGGGATTTTTCCATGTAAACCAGTATAATGCAACTTAATAGGGATTTTTCCATGTAAACCAGTATAATGCAACTTAATAGGGATTTTTCCATGTAAACCAGTATAATGCAACTTAATAGGGATTTTTCCATGTAAACCAGTATAATGCAACTTAATAGGGATTTTTCCATGTAAACCAGTATAATGCAACTTAATAGGGATTTTTCCATGTAAACCAGTATAATGCAACTTAATAGGGGTTTTTACATGTAAACCAGTATAATGCAACTTAATAGGGTTTTTTTCATGTAAACCAGTATAATGCAACTTAATAGGGATTTTTCCATGTAAACCAGTACAATGCAACTTAATAGGGATTTTTCCATGTAAACCAGTATAATGCAACTTAATAGGGTTTTTTTCATGTAAACCAGTATAATGCAACTTAATAGGGATTTTTCCATGTAAACCAGTATAATGCAACTTAATAGGGTTTTTTACATGTAAACCAGTATAATGCAACTTAATGGGGATTTTTCCATGTAAACCAGTATTATGCAACTTAATAGGGATTTTTCCATGTAAACCAGTATAATGCAACTTAATAGGGATTTTTCCATGTAAACCAGTATAATGCAACTTAATGGGGTTTTTTTCATGTAAACCAGTATAATGCAACTTAATGGGGATTTTTCCATGTAAACCAGTATTATGCAACTTAATAGGGATTTTTCCATGTAAACCAGTATAATGCAACTTAATAGGGTTTTTACATGTAAACCAGTATAATGGAACTTAATAGGGGTTTTTACATGTAAACCAGTATAATGCAACTTAATAAGGATTTTTACATGTAAACCACTATAATGTAACCTAATAGGGGTTTTTACATGTAAACCAGTATAAAGCAACTTAATAGGGATTTGTACATGTAAACCAGTATAATGCAACCTAATAGGGATTTTTCCATGTAAACCAGTATAATGCAACTTAATAGAGATTTTTCCATGTAAACCAGTATAATGCAACTTAATAGGGATTTTTCCATGTAAACCAGTATAATGCAACCTAATAGGGATTTTTCCATGTAAACCAGTATAATGCAACCTAATAGGGATTTTTCCATGTAAACCAGTATAATGCAACCTAATAGGTTGCATTATACCACCAGACCAAGACCCAAACGAAGACTCAGACCACCACCAGATAATGACCACAGACCAGGTTTCCTTAGTTACAGGAACCAAATTGTTTCAGCGGTGAGGGGATTTTTCAGTTTCAAGGACACTTTCAATACATTCAGTAGTTTCAAGGATTTCAACTGTTTAAGAATTTAACCAGTTTCAAGGATATCAGGAGGTTCAAGGATTTCAGGAGTTTCCACACTTTCAACAGTTTCCAGGTTTAAAAAAGTTTCAAGGATTTCAGGAGTTTCAATGTTTCAACAGTTTCAAGGATTTCAGGAGTTTAAAGGTTTCAACAATTTCAAGGACTTCAGGAGTTTCAAATATCTATCAAGTATTTTAACAGTTTCAAGGCCTTTTAAAGGATTTCAAGGATTTTTTTTAGCAGAT